TATGAGTATGATTTTAAATGGATCGAGCATTTTTTTTATTTATAAAGCATTTTGATGAAATATACATGCTACCAAGACAACTAAAGCCCATAAGAGGTTTTATCTATTATCTTATAGTGCGTTAGCCGGTTGGTGTACAAAACAAGCATCAGCAGCATTATTCTCGCCATTGCATACTCTCCTAGTACCCAAAACTTATTACTTAAAAACCAATCTTTTGAGTCACACAACACCCAGACCCCAGACGCGTTGTATATTGTCTCCAATAATCTACCCACGCTGTCTCAATATATTTAATACCTACATTCAAATTAATAAATCATCAAAACCAATAGAACAATGTCGCAAAGCAAGTCTCTTTATAAATTATACATTAGAACGAAGTTTATAATTTGTGCCATTCAAAACCTACGACATGGCCTTACATATCGGGTGTGATTCACGCGTCCTCGCGCTTTTGAATTTGACGAAAAATACTGTGAATGCAATTATCTTCCTATTTATAATTTCTAAATAATTGACGTATTTCCTATTTCGTTACAATAAGTACGGAAAAGGCGAATCGAACTGTAATTATGTAGGTATGACCTTCCATTGAACATTTTTAAGTTCACCTTTGTGAGCTTATAGGAAATGGCATCTCTAATCAACTTATTCTTTTGTTATACTAATTTTATTTTAACTGCTTGATTTTTCTATTCCAGAAAATCAAATATTACACACCAATAAATAAATTAATAGCATTTAACATACAAACAGAAGGTGCGACAAAGTTTGTTTTATAATATGAAAAGGCACTATACATATGTACGCTGGGAGAGTCAGAAAACATAGGATGCGACGACTGTTAATTTAAATGTGTCCGTGTTAATAGTAAAAGTCAAGTTCAGATTAAGGACTAGTACAAAACTAACTAACTACTAGTAGTAACTTTGGTTCCGGTCAACATTTTCGAGCCAATCAATGTCAGATGATGCGTCACCGAGGTGTGTCTATGAGAATATTAAAAATTATCTCTATGGGCGCATCATGGCATGGCACAGTGGTTAAGACATTTAATGCTTGTTTGTCTCATGAACCCCCCCAACCTTTGCAATGCTTTGCCTACCTCAAGATTTTACCTTTATCTACTAGGCTGTTATGAAATAGCAGGAAATTCTTGAATAGAATAGGAAGCACCTCCGTTACGAGCGTTTTTAGCAACCAGGCTTTCATATTTTGTACACCTTAGTACTAGGCTATCATGAACTGGAAGGAAGTTAATGCATCTTTTGACACAATGTGCAGTGATACCGCAGGCGTTAGAATGTGCAATTAATGGATACCATGTATTGTGCGTTTATTGGATGGAATTCCAAATAATTCCCATCCTGGTTTGGCAATAGGCTTCACTGGTGGCCAAATATGGCCACTCATTAAATGGAAGACGGCCTTAACATTTTAGAATTACTGTTTAAACCAACATTATAAGTCAAAGAGAGATTGAAATAGCGATAATGTTAAAATACGGACGGTTCCTTTGTCAGATACTTAGCTGATATGAAATAATGACAGTGACCGATAAAAATATTATGTACGACATTGGGCTTTGTGGCGTATAGGTGAAATCTGTCTATAAATTGTGAATGTTAAGCGACTTTCGCGAAAGTCAATTAAAGGATGGGTCACCAAATACTTTGTAATCTCGAGCTCCTCCGTGCTTCTTTCATGTGTCATCTTGGAACTATGGTAATCCAGACGTTATAAATGATAATGTTTGTTTGTTAAACAATCACATAAAAACTAATTAACAGATTTGGATGAAATTTGGTACGCATGTAGCTCATGACCTAGATGGAGACGTAGGCAATTTCTTTTCTCGAAAAATGTTAGGTTCTGTGGAATTCATAAAATACCAAAGCTAACGCGGACGAAGTCGCGTGCGGTAGCTAGTGATGTACAAACTCACAAAAAATCCCATTTAAAGACACTAACAATTCTTGTGCTTGTTTTATTTCTTCAAAAATAAATTTTTCCTTTAAATTTTGATTGTGCATTTTTATTTATTCTTAACACTTCTCAAGACTCGGCCTAATAAAGAAAGACATACTAGTTACCTATTTCATTATTTATTTGATTAATTATCTATTAAGCCATCGATATCGGTATCGGTATCGCCGATTATTTACTACAAAAATCGGTATCGGTATCGTATCGGCAAAATTATGTATCGTTACATCCCTAAATTTTTTTTAAGCTTGTAATTGTTCGATGTTTAAATCTAAAGAAAACATTACTAGAAAAAATTCCTCGCTGACCAGGTAGCAGACGGGCTCGAACCCGCATCCTTCGCTATCCGGACGAATGCACTGACCATTATGCGACCGCGGCCCTGACGACACACTCAAAGATATTCTTTATAACCTTTCTTAAGCTGCAAGGCAGCGCCATCTCTTCGCATCGATTATTGTCAAAATTAAAACTGTATTCATAAGACATCAGTGACATAAATTATATTAAGGAAACAGCATTTTTATGAGACCTACATTTCAATAATTAACATATTTATTTTTATTCTTTTAATGCTTGATTTATGTAAAAGTGTCTCATTTGATTTTGTAGTTTCCTGCAATGTGAAGACACTGGCGCTGCCTTTAAAACTAGGGGTCATTCGACACATCAAAAGGTCATTACAGGTCTTTTAATTCAATGAGGGCTATCGTTTTTTGTCTGACCAGATGGCGCCACTGTTGAGTAAGGTCCTGAAGTGTAACTTTTAAAGTTAGTAAACACGCTCGTGATATCAAAATTTTCATTTCAATACAAAAGAATCGTATCTTAAACATAATCGCCCATGCCACAGTGCTGCGCAGTCCCGTTTTGTTCGGAAAAAAGAAGGACAATCTTTTTTCTTAGCTCCACTTTTAAATAACTGGTAATCATTGACACGTAACTCATATTTGCCATAATAAGTCTGATTTATTACCAAATATTCACAACTATTATTTTAATTAGAAAAAAACCGCGTAGTCAACCCGCAAGCTATAACATTTGACATTTCGGAGACCTCACGCAACACAAGCGCCTCTAGCGGCGGTTTCAGACGCGATAGCCCTTAATCCAATCTGATACAGGTCCCAGTATTAAATTGTTGCAAATACAGAAAGAATATTCTTTTTGAAAGCGCTCTTAAACGGTTAAAGTTACACAAAAATTATGTACGACGGAATTGTTTTCCTTTGAAACATAAAAAAAACCGGAAATTTTGTAACTCAATCAACACAGCTATATTTCGCTTGAATTTAAATATGAAGTCGCATGACTCGTGCAAATCTTATTAATATTTGATTAACGAGATATGTCAGAATTATGCTTTAATATGAAGCATGAAGGTTCATAATTGATTGATTACTAGCTTCACGTAATAGGTTGAGGTATAAGTAACTCTCTGTGTTCATTAAGTCCTGGTACTCCAAAAATAATTGAACACTACCTTTTGGTGGTGTTGTGACGGTAAGTAAGGTTTCCATGGCCCCACGGGATAGGGAATTAATTGGGTTGAGCACCACGATATGATAAAACGTATTTATCACACTCAAATGACAAATTACTGTGGAGTTTGACAATTAGGCACGATAAAAAACATGATATAATGTGAATTATGCCCCCGTAGCATGAGCACTATAATTTACATTATATCACGTTTATTATCGCGTGTAACTGTCAAACTCCATAGTTATTTGACAGTTGAGCGTGATAAAAACGCGTTTTATATCATATCGCGGTGCTCATGTTACAGGGTCAGGGTATGCTACGGTGCGTGTGATATTTTTGGTACCGTAATTTTCTGTAGGCTAAGTAGCCGCTTAACATTAGGCGGGCCATACGCTGTTTGCAATCTGTTTACCATAAAAAAAAATACAAATACATATCGTTATGAGACAAAAAAGGCGAAACAGCAAAATATTTTTCGTAAAATATTGATTTATTTGATTTCCCGGATTTGCCGGATTCCTTGATTCGTGCTCAACTTAAATCTACGCTTGGTGATTGATAATTTGATTGAATCACCTTTGTTAAGAAATGACACTCAAAACATTTGTTAAATTCGGAAAATTAAAAGCATCAAAATGATTTTTGTAGTTCTCCCTGTTATATGTCCCTGTTCATCCTGCAGTGAAGTAAGTGTAAGGACAAATTCACTTCCCATCTCGGAATCCGTGGTGTAATGTAAACACGAACTTCAATATAGCATCGTCTCTCATAAAAACAAATAACAAAAAAGTCTAGTTTCAATCAAAAGAAAAATATTTGCGTAAAATATTTTTTTGAGGCCGTAAAACATCATTCCTAACGTAGCTTGATCATCTCTCAAATCCGCGTTCAAATTAAACCAACAATTTGAAGAAATAACTCTCTTATGACGTTGTGGGTAAAAACGTTATAAAACTCAATATTTTTCACGTCACAACACTATTAGACAACATCCAACTACCGAGGAAAGGTCAAGGATTTACATTTTAAATATTAATGAGGTGTCGATTACTATTTCGTTGTAAATAAAGTATGGCATGACAACTTTATACAAAAATAATGACATATTTTTGACCAGTGATACGATTTTAAACTTGACTCTGTATCACAATAGGTTATGTGGGCGTAAAGAAGGTATTATCTATTTTATGTTGATCTAGGTTTGAGTTTTTTCTCACAAAACGTGCTCCAGGCTTTGTGATCTCTTGATTATAATAACCTTTTATGGGTCATTGCTTGATCATGTCTAATTAAGACCACTCGCACAGTCTAAATCATAAAATATGTGATCAGAGTCACTAAAAACTAAAAGGAAGTACTTCATTGTTAACAAGTGGTCAGAAGAAACAAATAGATACTGTCTATAAAACCTTATATTTATTAGCACTATAAAATACTGGCACACCATCATTTAAATAGAAAAGTAAAAAGTTTAACCTTATATGTGTTATTTTTTTATTCTAAATTGCGATTTCTCCTTGTTCCAGAAATATGAAGCCACTACTTCCAGCAGTGGTGGCAATATGCCTGATCATCTCCGGCTACGCGCACCCTGAAAACATCGAGGATGTCAAAGAACTGCCGCAAAAGACAGACTTGAAACTAGATGCGGAGGAAAGCCAGCCACAAGCTCGCAAAGAGCGCTGCACGACCTGTGCGTCGGGCGCTCTGAAACTAAACTTAAAATCACCGAACGATGTCCTCGCAGCGCTTCAAGCACTACCCGGCGCTGAAGTCCACACACAGCAGTCTTACGAAAGCTGCTCGAGCGACAAAGGGTGTGCGGGTCTCAAAATCAAAGACGGAGCCGTCGTAGAAAGATTCGGAAACGTGGACTCCTTCAAAGCCGCCGTATCGGCGGACGGAGCCAACGAATTCCAATTCCATCCAGGAGGTGCTTTAGGGGACGCGTTCGCAAACAACCCACCTTTCTGGTGGATGAACCAGAACTCGCCGTTCAAAACGGCCGGTGGAAATTTCGAGAAGTTCAGCAAGTCCAGCTCTAGCTTCTCCAGCAGTGGGGGCGCTGCAGGAGCTGCGGGTGCCGTCCCGTTCCTCGGTGGTAGCGTAGACCTATCCGCAAATCCTTTCCTGAACGGTGAATTCTCGAAAGTCGCCGGTGCGTTCGGCGCAAGCGGAGCCGGTGCTGAATCAGTCAAGCCCTCAGGGTTCCAATCGTCTTCGTTCGAAAGCTCGTCCTTCAGCAGCTCAAGCAAAGGCGACTTAGACCTGTCAAAGAATCCATTCTTGAACGGAGGCATCAAGTTAGGCCAAGGAGGTTTCGCTGCACAAGGAGGTTTCGGTTCTAGTCAATTCGGTGCGGGCGCTACAGGCAGCGGAGCCGCCGGCCAGGGTAGTTTCGGCTCCAGCCAAGGGCAGGGTTTCTCATCACAAAGCAACTTCAACTCGCAAGGGTCAGGGTCTGGTTTGACCTCAGGCAGTGCCCAATTCGGTGGGCAGTTTGGAGCGTCGTCATCAAACAAATTCGGAGCGTCAGGATACACAGGTTCTTCTCCGAGTCCATTCTCCGCTTCCACGGCTGGATCTAACGTGAACTTGATCCAGAACTCGCAGAAGGGTTCCGAGTTTGATTACGAACAACAACAGCAGACCCAGAACATAGATGAGGCGTTCCAGTCTACTGGCAACGTTCATGCCCATGAACACAGCGGTGGTGAACTCCAGCAGACATGCGCCGGTCAAGGCTACGTGTGTGTGCATAAAGCTCAGTGCAACAACGGCGTGGTCAACACCAACGGGGCTGGTGTCCACCAGGCTAGAACTCAGGTGAGTCAATATAACTTTTTCTGTATTACACATTTCTTTCTGTAGTTCTGCTGTAGGATACAGCGATTACTCAAAATCGACTTTTCAGTGTACAAAATGTGTTCAAAATATGCATTTGTAATGGAAAGTGACTTTAGAAGTTACCTCATATTGAAGGCATTTTTCAATTTGACGACTCTGTATATAATACAGGGAGAAAGAAACAGCCCTTGCTGAGTTTCTTGCCGGTTCTTCTCAGTACAAGGTCTCCCGCCGTAGTTTTGCGAACCGATGGCGTAGCTTTTCGACATTCACAAGTGCTTGTAACAGCCTAGACTGAGTAAACGATATTGAAATTTGAATTATGATAAAAACAACTTTTTTTCCATTCTCGCTCAGATAAAACTTCTTCGTCAAAAATCGATTCTACATTGAATAGGTTCTCTCGTTCGTGTTGTATTTTGGTAAAGCAAGCGACATTGCTATTGATTGAGTTATAATTTATCTGACAGCCAAGTTCTGTCTAAGCATCGCTAAGTATGAACGGCGGACGCCAGAAGGGTGATTTAGCGCGGATTCATATAAAGATGGGTTTTTTTTTACGAAATAAGGATGAAATGACGGGGCAAACGAAATCTTATTAAATCCGTCAGTTAAACTATCAAAAACAATGGATACATATTTTTTACGCAACCGACGGTCAACGCTGCCGGTCAGGACGTACGGTCAGGACGTACTGTCAGGACGTACGGTCAGGGCGTACGGTCGGGACGTACTGTCGGTCTAGCACTGTTTCCAGCCTTAGGGGCAAGTGTAGTAGGGACGAGTAGGCGACATCGGTTCCCGTAAAACAGTTTATGATTAACCTCTTTCTGCGTTCCGTGACTGCTGCAGTTGGGACATTAATAGGCTCATGATAATAATTATTTCGTTCTTTGTAAAACACTTAATCATATTTTGTTTTAAACTTTCATGGTCACTAACATTATAGCTATTAACGAGATTGTTACTATATCGGAGACTCATAAAAAACAAGGTACGTGGTAACAATCCCGTTAATAGCTATAAAACACTTAATCGTAGTTATTGAATCTCGTACTACAATCTCCGCAAACATGTAGTACCTATCCGCGTACATTGCGACATTACAAAATCAACAATAAATATATGTACATACACTTGCTCATTTTAAACAGCCATTTATTTCATGACATCCAACTGTTAGATAGACGTCAAATCTCATTATTATTATTAACCTTTAGGCTGTCATATTTCAAATGTCAGGTTAGGCGTTGCGCAGACGGTGCAAGTATGATATCCATATTGGGTAACAGGCAACTTAAGTGATAGCATATCTTAGCAACCGTTTAAGAAAGTAAGGTTATTTACAGAATACCTTACATTACCTTTGGTAATGTTATATCTGTCGGTGAGTAAGTTAAAGTTACACAGAACAATATTTTCCTTTAAAACATTAAAAAATGGAAATTTTGTAACTCAATGAACACATAGCTACGAGTATATTAGGTTTGAATTTAAATATGGATTCGCATCTCACGTGCAATTCTTATTATAAATATTTTGATTGACGAGACATTTTTTTTTTTCTAAATGGCTTCGCACGGCTTGCGCATTTAGCCAATGTCAGGTGTTAAAATGTTAACAAATACTATAGCACTCGTGCAGTCAAGTCAATCCCCCTTTCCCTATGTTTCAGTAAAAGTGGGGATTTACTGGAACCTCCCCGTCGACTTCTTGAGGAAACGACGAAAGACACTTTCCGCTATTTTGTTTCACTTGCCAACACTTGTGCATGTTCCCGAACAATTAGTGGTTAAAAATCCATCATTAATAGACACTAACATCCGCCACAACACAATTTTTAACAAGAAAAACAAAACTGCTAAAGTGACGCTTCCCGATCCCGCCAAAAAGTCCCTATATTACGTTTGAACTTAAATATGAATTCGCATGACACGTGCAATTCTTATTAATATTTTTGATTGACGAGACATGTCAAAATTATACTTTAATATGAAGCATGAAGGTTAATAATTGATTGATTTCTAGCTTCACGTAATAGGTTGAGGAATTAGTAACGCTCTCTGTTCATTAATTCCTGGTACTCCAAAATTAATAGAACACTACCTTTTGGTGTTGTTGAGTCTCCAGGTCCAGTTCCAGGGCTCCACGGGGAAGGTGATGGGGTCAGGGTAGGCACCGGTGCGAGTGATATTTTTGGTGCCGCAAGCGTCTATAGGCTATGGTGGCTGCTTACCATCATCATCATCCTATTAATGTCCCCACTGCTGCAGCACAGGCCTTCCATATGGATGGAATAGGGAGATTGGGTCATGACCCACCACGCGGGCCCAGTGCGACTGCAGATGCAGCCGGGACCAATTTCTTAACGTGCCTTTCGAAGCACGGCGAAACTCGAGAAAGAAGATTTTTGGTCACCCATCCAATGTTGCTTAACTTCAACGATCGCAGCCGAACGCGCTAACCACCCGCGCCATCAGATGGACCATATCTGCTAGTTTCCTTACATATGAAGTTATTCAATATATAAAGTCGCCATGTCCGCACATAGCCTTATCTTATCGCCTTAGTAATTTATATCTTCCTCTGAACTGTAAAATGAATCACTCATATTGTTCAGTTGAGTAAATATTTTAAAGTAACCCCGAGAATTGATTTGATTATTTGAAATATAATAAAATTGAAATGAAATTCTACTTCAAATTGATTTATAGAAAACTCTTTTGAATATTTTAATATTTTATCCCTGCCACCCACATTCAGGACATATTTTAGCTGATAATAACAATGGGCGCAAGACAGTCATCAGCATTAACAGAAGTAGCAACATTTACATAAAATCATTTTTTTTTTAATAAGTTTTACGGCCGTGAATTTCTCCATTTAGGCCATTCATTAGTACATTTCATCATTTTATATTTTTTCGAAAGTGTACATAAAATCATGTTACTACTAGAGATGGGCCGACTATAGTATTTGCCGACTAACCGACTAATCGGTTTTCGAATTGCCGACTAGTCGGCCGACTATTCTGCAATGCAAATCATTCTAATACCTATTCTGTTATGTGCGATATTAATTGTGTTAAGTTATCTGAATTACTGACAGATTCTTAAGTTCCTAATTCTTATTGTGTTACCTTATTTTTTTTTTATATTTAAGTACATACTCTAGTTTAAATATGCAAAACAAGCATAAGTTTTGAGTTTTATTTCATTGTTATGGGCTGATTATAATCGCCATGTTTTGCCGAATAGTCGCCGACTATAAACGATGCCGAATAGTCTTCTTTCCCGACTAGTCGGCGGCTAGTCGGCTCATCTCTAGTCACTACCAATACAATTAATTAGATACGTTAATTAGTTATGTGTTACATCGTTACTTGTAAATTTAATGAGAAGATTTAGCTTACTTCAATGAGCGAAATCTTCTTTATACCAAGATACTTCGAGATCATTTAGTAATAGTGGAATCGAAAATATCCTAAGTTTAATGCAACATACTTACTTAGCAAATTACAACGTAATTACGCGACATAAAAATGATAAAGAATACATGGGTAAAACATGGGCCTCTGTCCGAGAAAATATGCACCACAGATTAGGTCGACGCAAGATTTTTTCATTTTATTTATCGACTTGAACTTTAATAAATAAAAAGTGTATACATAATTTTTATTATAACTGTACACAGATTACGCAATTAATAAAGTACCTTACATTACGATAATCAAAAGGTTGTCTGGCAGAGATCTGTTTTGAGTGATAAGACAGCCTATTGTTAAAGTGTTATGTCAAGTTTTAACATATTACATAGTAAGTGTGCATATATAATTTCTCTTACATATTTATTCATCATCAGCCTATCGATGTCCCACTGCTGGGGCACAGGCCTTCCTTAAGGATGGAATAGGGAAACGAAAAACGGATGCCCATGTATGAGGATCTAAACTTGGTCATTGGACAACACTACGTCCATGATTAAATGTATCTATATATATAAAACTCAAAGGTGACTGACTGACTGACATAGTGATCTACGAGTATCAACGCACAGCCCAAACCACTGGACGGATCGGGCTGAAATTTGGCATGCAGGTAGATGCTATGACGTAGGCATCCGCTAAGAAAGGATTTTGATCAATTCTACCCCCAAGGGGATAAAATAGGGAATGAAAGTTTATATGAAACTTTGTCAATTTTAAACCGATCGGGCTGAGACTTAGCATGCAGGTATAAGAAGAATCATAGATGAATGTCATTGTGTATAATACAAGCCTGAGAACAAAAACTGTGGTCTACACTTCAGCTCTACACCGAAGCGAAGCAAGGGCGGGCCGTTAGTGATTAAATAAACAATAAACCTGTCGCAACACACGTCCACACCTGTCAATTTCTGTTTATAAACGAAATGCTTTTATTAGCTCTCCATTCAGAATGGAGAACACGACAACATACATCTGAACAACATCATCACTTTTGTTTATAAACTGTTTCTAGTTGTATACGGAGGTGATGCAACATTGTCAAACACTGTTTATAAACAGTGTTCATACGCAAATGTAACCTTACGAATACGCAGCTTTAATAGAAAACCTTTCAAAGTTTCCTCACACAAGTGTGAGATAAGCATGAGGCTTATTTGTGGTGCCGTTTTTCTCAATGGCAAAGCGTCAAAACTCCTATTTGTCTTCGATAATTTTCATTCCTTATCCCCCTTATTAATAAACAGGGTATAAGCTTAGACTAGTTACGCTATGTTTTATTCGTATCCAACGATATTAAATACCCTAGATACAACAACACGAACAAAATCATGCCCGAAATCTGTCCACAAAGTACATTGGACGATCCACGGAGCTCCGTAAGATGATCGCGTAGTCTAAACAATATAAGGCATTATTTAAACATTGAAAATCACCTTTAAAGCATACTGTATAAGGTCTTAATTAAAACGCACGCGTGATAGAGTGATGACAG